TCCCCTCCCCCTCTCTCTCCATAAAGTATAATGTTGGATGTGGGTTTCTGTACCTGCTCTCATCTGCTGCCAGATGAAACCTCTCTGATGGTTCTGATGGTGACTGGACAAGTTACCATACTATAACTAGAGCAGAATATCATTTCATTGATTATTATTTTTCCTTTTTGTCAGTGGTGTTTGGTTCTATCCTAGGTCTCTGAGCTACCCAGTCTGAGATTCCTGGCCATTCAAGCATTATAGAGCATGACTTTCCTCCCATGGTGTGGCTTTAAACCAACATTGGCTGTCCACTCCTACTTGTTCTGAGAACCATTGCCCCAGTACATCTTGCAACCCAGACAGGTTGTAGGTAGAGAGTTTTGTGGCTGGGTTGGTATCCATGTTTCTCCTTCCATAGCCTTCCAACACCTTCTCATACTGAAGACACTAGAACATAGGAGTGAAGGTTCTAGTTCTTATAATCATTTTTCATATTTCAAGTGATACTCTTTTAAAAGGTTAAAGAAAATTCAGATGTGTCAGAAATGAGAGGTGAACTTTTGTGTGTGTTAAAACAATATATAGTTGTGAATGTCCTATGTTGGGCATATGTACACAAATATCATGATTGGAACTGTAAAGGATAAAGGGCAGCTATGTAAGCAATAGCTAAAAACTATTAAATTACAAAAATCAATGCCAACCTTTCATCTGCCCATACAGATGATCTATGTGGCACGGAATGCCAAAGATGTGGCTGTTTCTTACTATTATTTCTACAAAATGGCAAAAATGCACCCAGAGCCTGGCACCTGGGAAGAGTTCCTTGAGAAATTCATGGCTGGGCAAGGTGGGTCCAGGTGTTCCTTTAATTATGATTTCAATACTAATATTTTTTCTAAGGAAACATAAAGTTTAAAATCTAAATCTTATGTTTATCATAAAATTAATTTTCATCAAGCAATCTACTAATACACTGGGGAGAGTAAAGAGAAAGTAAACATGTCCCTTTTGTCTTTGAGAGGACTTTGTGTTAATTTGTGGCTTATATAGTCTCTAGTTCTGGGTTTCAACATTTTGTAAGTTATGAATGGCTGCTGGCAACTTATTTAATTGCTTTCAAATCCCAATACCTGTGTTGTACTATTTTAACTGTGTGTCTATTCCTTGGATTCTGTTCTTTAACATTCAAAACTCTCATGTGACTGTTCCTTTAACAAACATACAGTTGCTTTTTCTATTTAATGATAGCAAATGTAGGAAGAAAATCTCAACAGACATATAACCCTCCATATAAACTTCCTCTTGGAAACAGATATGTGTAGGTGATATGTAGCATAGACTTAACGCCTATCAGTGCTTAAAATATTATGTGCTTGTGGTATCAATGTCATTGTCAAAGCCTGAAAGCTTCTTAGAAAAACAATGTACTTTACTCTTCCCAGTTGTTTTGTGACTTCCCGTTTATGTCATCTTATTTATTCACGACTCCCTCTCCTCTGAACTTACACATCACTTATTGTTTGAGACAGTCAGCAGCCTTACTTTTGTGATCTTAGTTACATTTATCAAAAGTTATATTAGTTTACAAAAGGTCCAATAACAAATTATCATATTGAGTGGCTTAGATGACAGAAATGTATGGTTTTGCTTTTTTAGAATCTAGAAATCCAAGGAGAAAGTGCTGTATCTTTTGTACAGCCTTTTTTTCCTTAAACTGTGCGTGGCTAACTGTGCATGGTTGTTCTTGCCACGGCCTTCCATCTTGGTGTGTCTGTCTTAACTCCTTTACCTGTAAGGACATTTGTTGTAATCAGGAGCTAATTTTTCTTACTATAGAGACCTTTCCTCTGACTAGAGTTTCGTTATCAGGTATGAAATGTAGACATTTCTGTATATAGATTTTGAAAAGACATATTTCAACCTTGTAACAGAATAACTTTTATTTTTAAAAATAGATTTCAAATTCCATGAGAAAATGGAATCCCAGATATACTCACTCCTATATATCCCCCCCCCTTTTCTTTGAACTACAGAATTTTCTGTACATGGACAGATAATCATGTCTTAAAGAGACACTTAGCTATTTCTGCTTCATGTAAATAGTTTTTAACTTTATGCTTATCTTTAACTTTAGTGAGTTTTGGTCCATGGTATGATCATGTAAAGGGCTGGTGGGAAAAAAGAAAAGAATACCGGATCCTTTACCTGTTTTATGAAGATATGAAAGAAGTAAGTAGACACTTGAATTTTATTGTTTTAAACCTATGATTTAACTTATTGTCCATTTTATTCTTTTCTACTTAATTTATAAGCATAGCTAATTTACTTTTAACTCTAGATCTGTCACAAAGTATGAAATAATTCAAATCTACCATGTTGATATTGATTATCCAATCAAGTATAATAATAATAATAACAATAATCTTTAAAAAATATGTGTGATTCCACTTATGTGATAGAATAGCCTATTAGCTTCTAAAATGTAATATCATTAAGATAGTTGCTAGAGTCTGGCCTTATTTAATCCCTTTATGTCTATTCAGACTCTTTTTTGTACCATTTTTCCTTTTTTAGGCTGAGTATACATTAAAAAATGAAAAGTTTTATTTATTTTCAGATTAACATTGCTTCACTATGGAAGCACATATCAACCAAATTCCATGAGGCACGTTATCTCTCAAAACTGAAGCCTACCAAGGAAAACTGCAGTTATAGCTCTGAGTTTTGGTAGGCCTGACTCAGCTGATCTTGTTTTCTAGGCTTCTAGCAAATCCTTTCCAATGGATTGAAACATCTCTGGTTTCAGAATCCAGTTTTATATTTCTATGGAAATCACTTCATTCTTCTGCATGTTCCTTTTTAGCATAGTCAAATTCACAGCTGCTCTTATACAGTAAGTCGAGTTTATACTAGTCACAATGATTACATAATGTAGAAGTTATGGGCTTTTAGGAAACGAGGAGTCCTACATATGGGTCTTTATGTGTCCCTATATTAATTTACATAGAAACTCTCTTGCCTACGTTGCCAAGATGTTTTCAAGACATGAGGTTTAGTCCCCTCAGATATGGAGAATGATTTACATAGTTGGCAAAGAAGGTGAAGGAGTCCACTAGAATTAAAGATTCTCTCTGCCATTAGATCAACCTCAGATATTTTCATTTTAATTTAATAATTTCACCCTTATACATTATGATTTTCCCTTCATTTGCATATTAATGAATTGGAATATGAATGACTTGGCACAACTCTCTTACTTCACTACCGTTTTCAGATAATATGTAGGTGTTAGAGATCATAGAATCTGTTTATCACTCATAGAAAATTCTTGAGATATGTAATCTATACTTGGTATTATATTTAAACAACAAAATGATTGCAGATATTCCTTAACTAAAATAGCAATTTACTTTATCACTATCCATTATTTTGCAAATTCATTACATTTAAATATTAATATTGAGAATTAACCCAATCAGTTTTTTAATTTCTTGAAATAAACTCTACTCTTGCTCTTAGCTCATGTTTGGTACATTGAATAGCCAAAGAAATCACTTTACTTTCCCAAAAAGTAGCATAAAACCCCAGAATATCTCTCCCACTAATTAAGCTTAAACAGAACCTTAGTAAGTGCATTCCTTTCTTTATGACCAAATCTAACTGAAATGATCATTTTCTTCTTTATCATTTCAGGATCCAAAGTGTGAAATTAAAAAATTATTAAAGTTTCTAGAAAAAGACATACCAGAAGAAACTGTAAATAAAATCCTCTACCATAGCTCTTTCAATGTAATGAAGGAGAATCCTAGTGCAAATTACACCACTATGATGAAAGAAGAGATGGACCACTCTGTATCTCCTTTCATGAGAAAGGGTGAGAAAAGCACAAATCCATTTTTGTATAGTTTCTGGTCACTTAGTGGAAGGTATAAGTAATCACAGAAATGTGAAATTGTAAGAAATTAGAAGCAATTAAGTATGCTTAAGAGAGGGAAACTCAAAAGTAGAAAGAAAAAAAATAAGAAAGCCTTAGAATAATTTATTTTATCTTATATCATTTCTGGAATTTTCCAGATCAAATATCTCTAATTGACATGAAAAACTAGGTTTTCATGGAGCATCGAATCATCACTGGACCAAGGGCCTCTCCTCCCATTGATGCCTGACAAGGCCATCCTCTGCTACATATGCAGCTGGAGCCATGGATCCCTCCATGTGTACTCCTTGGTTGGTGGTTTAGTCCCTGGGAGCTCTAAGGGGCCTGGTTGGTTGATATTGTTGTTCTTCCTATGGGGTTGCAAAACCCTTCAGCTCCTTCAGTCCTTTCTCTAACTCCACTGGGGACCCTGTGCTAAGTCCAATGGTTGGCTGTGAGCATCTGCCTTTGTATTTGTCAGATTCTGGCAGAGCCTCTCGGGAGACAGCTATATCAGGCTCAGGGAAGTGGGAGTAGGTAGGTGGGTGGATGAACACCCTCATAGAATCAGAGGGAGGGGAAATGGGATGGGGGTTTCCATGGGGAAAACAGGGAAAGGGGATATCATTTGAAATGTAAATAAAGAAAATACCTAATTTTAAAAAAAGACATCAAAATTATATCCTGATCTACAGATCAGTCATATACTTTTGTAGGCATGTACTTTTGTATACAGCAAGGAAAATAATTGTTCGTTCATTCATTCATTTATTCATTCATTCATTAAAGCACTCATTTGGTTGCTTTAAAAAAACTTGATGCTTCTCAAATCTCTTTTTGGAATGCATTATCTACAAACAGGGTTGTTAAATTAATTCCGCAATCATAAGCCTCAAGATGGTCCTAAGAACTTTCCCAACTTCCAGACTTGTGCTTAGGTTTAAGTAGGATAAAACACGTGGCTGGAAGTAATGTTTTAGCATCAAAATGGCAGAGGAAAGCCATACTTATCTGGTAACAGTGAATGGAAAAATATTCATGAAAACTTTCCATCAACAATGTATATGGAAATCACTGAACTGCCTTTCTCAGTTTAGTTGTAAGAGATCTTGTGTTAAAATACAATGAACATTTACAGTTGAAAAGGAAAGAAAAACTAGGATTCTAATTATGACTTCCCTGTTACTATGGGGACTTGTTAATTGCAAGGTTTAGTTTGCAGGGTCAAATGATGACTTAGAAGAAAAAAAATCTACCATCAAACCCGATTGGAAATTACCGGAGTGAATGTAATGTTTATCTTCTATAGTTTCTCAGCCTTCTGTATATTTAAATCACCAAAAAATACTTACGGAAGGATATGACATGCCATGCAGAAGGAATATTTATTTAAATTATAGCTTTCACCGTATATTGAGATGATCAGCCAATGTTTCCTCCAGTGGCTTTTCTTTAAGATTCTTACAAACTATTTTTTTTTTTTAAATTTAAGATACTTGTAAAATCTATGGAAATTGGAAGGCTAAGTAGGTCTAGCAATTAGATCTGGTTGGAAATGAAGACTACAGTTATAACGAATATCAAAATTTAAAGACCAAATACACATTCAAATTGTTTACTCAAATTCCTTCTGGACAGATATTTAATAGTAATCCCAAGTGCTTTTCATTATGCTTTTTTTACAGGCATTTCGGGTGATTGGAAAAATCAGTTCACTGTAGCCCAGTATGAGAAATTTGAAGAAGATTATGTCACGAAAATGGAAGAATCAACACTAAAGTTTAGATCAGAGATCTAGGGAGTGTTTGTGTCTCCTCGGTCTTCTTTGGTAGGCACTAACGTTAGAGAAAAAGAACATTCATGAGTCAGTCAAAGAAAATGTTTATATATTATTTTTCTGTATTTACTAAAACCCATAGTCTTCAAATGTACAAATAACAGGTCATAACTCTCTCCTAACTATCTTCATTACAGAAAATTTCATATAGTAGTTTCATTTTTACTTTCTGTTATCAAAATAATGCAATTTTAAGAGGCTTTATAATCTAGTATATTTTTAGTTTCAGTTACTAATAGCTTCCTATCTATATATGTCCTAGGTTACCCCCTAGACAAAGACTCCATTTCATTAACTGTAATTCAACTTCATCTGTGGTTGTTTTACATTTTAAAATATTATGTTTTTAGCATTGCCAAATCATTTAAATTATGTCAGAATATCCCATTTCCCCTTAAGCCTAACTTAGAAATAATAAATTTTGATGAAAGAATCAATAGTGCCCATTTTATAGGATTTAAATCAAGGAAATTAGAGATTTGATTGTTTTATCCTTCATTTCATATATTAAAGCTATAGTGAAACTTGTTACAGAAACCCTTGAAGTTTGTTTAAAATACTCCAAAGTACTGTTCTACTGTCTACTTTATGTCCATTTGGCATCACTTCTGAGAGGAAAACGCTGTAAATTTCCATAATCTCTCCTCTTTTTGATTGGCTTTTGGATCACATCAGGGTCATTTTGCTTCTTCTGAAATTAACCGTTCCTAAGTGGGATAAATACTCATCTTTGAACTATCAAGAGACATGAATTCAAAACACTTCAGATTTGTCTCCAGTAACTAATGTTCAGTGAAAAATAAAAACTTAAAGATAAATGGTTAAAGTACTGTATGATTCATTCAATATATGACATGAGAAAATTGATGAAGTGCACAGACAGACAACGTATGGTAACATAATTTAATGAAGAACCTGAAGTTACAATTTCTTACCATTTTATGCTGATTGTCTCAAATTTTATCATTATTTTTAATGAATGTCTTACTAATTTTAAATTTTCTAAAGTAAAAGTCATTTTTAGTAACAACAGCAGTGACTGTTTAAACAAAACATCCTTAAATAAAGTCAACAATGAATTAATTTAAAATGTTTCTAAGGCTATTTATACAGGTAAGCACTGAAGGAAAGACCCACAACTAAAGATATCAGTTAATTACTGGGTATTTGACTATGTTCAAGGCTTGTTGGAGCACAGGGATAAAATGGTTGTGAATATACACTTCTGCCCCTTAGCATTCTCATAATATTCCAGAAAGAATTATTTATCACCAAGGAACTCACTTCATTGAAAGCCGCAGCAATGGGCTCGTGCTCATAAAATTCATTGTCTTTATCGTATTTTCTACTGGCAGAAGTAGTTAGTTTGCTATAATAGTGGAATGTTCTTTCAAAGACTCAATTGTCTGTCATTTAGGAAGCAATGGTCTTTAGAGTTGATGCAAGTTCCCATAGAAGGATGGATCTTGGCTTTCAACCAGCATCTGGATACTTACTAGAGTGTATCCCATAGCCAAGACTCATAGATCCTGGAGTCATGAACTGGAGTAAGAGAAGTTCTGCCCATTGGTTTGCCAAAGACTCCCTAGAAAGGGTTTTGCTTCCTACATGAACTTGTACTTTATACTAAGAAAATTACTTTCAGAGGAAAGAGTCCTTAACAACATGTATTTTATTAATATTATCATGGTATGCATAGGAGTGCATGCCTGCTTGTAGGTGGGTGAACCATTTGCTAGCCAGGGGTCTATGAAGGTACCAGATCCCCTAGAATTGGAGGTCTAGGGTAGTTACCCATCGTCGGAGCTGGGAGTCAAACGCAGGTCTTCTGGAAAAACAGCAATTGTCCTTAATCTGTATTCATCAGCTCCAAATACATACTTTTTAGACACTGGATTTTTAAGGTTAAAACCTTTTATGTAGAATGTCTAGTTTAAGAACAGAGTTAGCTCTGTGTTCCTCAGCTTCCAACACAGGTTCACAGGGCTGACTAGATTTTCTACAGCTGGATTTTATCCACCTCACTGAGCTACAGAATTCCTCTGGGTATTTCAAAGGCATTTTCATACATTCAGGTACCATGTTTGTGTGCACTTGCTCACCAGTTTCACTAGGGGGCGACCTTTCACCGTATCATGATGTTAAGTGGTGGATTGAGTCTGAATGCTTAATTTGAGAGACATGCCTGTCTAGGGTATTCTGAAGGTTTGTGGGTTTCGACTGGAACAAAGTGGAAAGACACAGACAGGAATATTTGTTGTGTTTCTAAACATCTACAAGGTCCATATGTCACATGACTTGAGCTTTGAGTTTTCTAAGGTCCATTATAGCAAACTGTACTATGAAGCAAAACTCGGTCAGTTTTACTCTCGAAAATAGGAATCAACCTCTCTCTCTCTCTCTCTCTCTCTCTCTCTCTCTCTCTCTCTCTCTCTCTCTCTCTCTCTCTCTCTCTCT